TTGGAGTCTCGGATGTAATCGAAGCGGTGCAAACTGAATTGAACGGCCCGGGTATGCTTTTAGGTTACAGGGCCATGCACAAAAAAATCAGGATAGAACATGGTCTTAATGTTACAAGGGATAAAGTCTATGATGTGATGACCGAGCTTGACCCAGAGGGACTTGAAATCAGAGGTGGCGTTGGTGGCAAGAAGAAAAGAAAGAAGGGGCATTTCACGACAAAGGGAACGAATTGGGTGCATGCACTTGATGGTCATGATAAGCTGATGGGATATCAAAATTCCACTTTCCCATTGGCTATCTATGGATGTATTGACACTGCCAGTAGAAAGCTGTTATGGTTAAGAGTTTGGATATCCAATTCTGAACCAAAATTAATTGGGAAGTGGTACCTTGAATATCTCTATGAAACGAGAATAATATCAGCCATGCTGCGAGTGGACAAGGGTACTGAGACTGGACGAAGTAAACATGGAGATATGGATCCACATGAAACTGTTGTCTATGGCCCTTCCACTTCTAATCAGGTAAATTTTCTATTTAATTGCTAAAATTTATTTTTTATTTCATTTTCTACACATACTTTTTCAAACTGGCACATACTCAGCAGCAATCATGCAAGCCTTTAATATTGATTATAGACCCAATGGGCCATTCCATTTAATATGTGCACCCCCCCCCCCCGCCCCCATTGAGGGGTCTGGAAATCCTATGGGGAGGGAGGGGTTAATATTGGTAATTTCCGAGGGGGTAAATCAGTCGGTCCCTTTGATCTTCGAACAACATAGGCCAATTTCCAAGGGGGGGAATGTGTCGGCACTTTGATGTTCAATTTCCTAAGGGGGTAAAACTTTTAAGGACCCCTCAATAGGGGGGGGGGGTGCACATATTAAATGGAATGGCCCAATGTACTTAATCACGGACAAGATTTAATTTCAATTCAATTTTTTTTCATATCATTAGCACTGATGAAGATCCGGGCTTACGGATCGAAAGCTTTGCAGTAATAAATTTACGTGGTGTTTCCACAAACAATAGTATTATATGTTTAATCGCCATGCAAACCTACAAAGAACGTATTACTCACCTGGGACACCTGTGCCCGGGCTCTGTAGAGCGTCTTGTTAAGGTTTAATTTTATGCTGCTTTATTACTTTAAGATTGAAAGGTGGTGGAAGGAGTTACATGAAAGAATGGAAAAGTATTTCAAAGGTCATTTGAGATTGCTTAAAGATCAAGTTAGGTCACTATGATCCACATAATGAGACCGACAGGTAAAAATATTAACATTTTTAGTGGTACTGCACCCAAGTGTGTCCTACTTTGTTGTTTTACTCAGTTTAACACAAGACAATGAGAAAATTTGCTTGTCAAAGGGATAATACTGGTTCTTAATGGGTTTGCTTGAAAAATAATACACACCCCTTGACAAATTATGACATTGGGTCATTCCAGAAAGCATCCATATATCTCCCTCACAGAGGGAATTGGAAGTTAATTAACCCCCCAACATGTACCCCCTTCTTATTGTATATGTCCTAAGATACATACTAAATTGTTAGAAACAAAATTCTCCCCCCCCCCCTTCCCCCCTTCTGGATGGCAGAAGTCAGAGAGTTTGGCAAAGACAACGGCAACATGGTCATCAACATAGCATTGATCCTCATAGACAAAGGTGAATGTAAATTACATGGTCTTTAAAGCATTGTGCAATGCCATAGTTGATGAAACTAGTGTGTGATTTGCATCATTTTCACGGTGCATGACTCCGGCAACAGTTAATTCATTCAATGTTATTTGAGGTGTTTTATTTGAATTTGCGGACTATTTTTATTTATCAGGGCTGTTTTAGAGGAGCAAGAATACTTAAAGAGGCAAATTAAGTGTAGTAACATATACTTTGGCTGAAATACAATAATATAAGCAATTATATTAGCAATTATATTTTTTCGCCATTGTCGTTGCCGTTCTAGGTTGCCAAGTTCTCTATCACCTCCTTGGGGGGAGGACAAGTTTACTCATCAAAAGGAGACTGCTGTCAAAGTGTTAAGACAAGCAATATTGGTTCACTTGTCAAATTGGTCTAATTTTGGATAAGTTCTTAATTAAATTATTGACCTTAATTTTATTTATGTTTCAAGAATGCTTCTATCTTTTGTTATGATACCATTGGTTCAGAAAGAACTGGATATTTTTCGAGAGACTGTGTGGAACACTCATAGAATAAGAGCACAAAAGGATGCAGTATTGCCAAGTGGGATTCCTAACCACATTTATAGCTTTCCAGATGAGTATGGTCTCAAAGAATGTGGTAAGTTGTGCCCTGCTGTATGTACCTTATTATTCTACTCTGTCTAATGCCACATGAATTTTCTTGTGAAGGATAGAGTCATGCACACTAAAATCGTACATTGCAGCTTAGACACTACATCAATATAGAGTTATCTAACTTGCTTGCAGCTAAAAAAGCTATTTATAATTACGAAGTGCAATCAATTTGAGCAATAAAGAGAGAGAGAGAGGACAGCATATATGGAGCCAAGGGCGGATTTTCATATTTTTCTCTGGGGGGGGTGCAAAAACTTCAGGGGGGGGGGGTGGGTGGCAATGATCTTGTGCAGGGGCGGATCCAGGGTTTTTGATGACCGGTTACTAGGTTCACCCAACTATGCTCCCCCCCGGAAAATTTTTAAATTGGGGCTCCGAAACAGCATTTCCTGCATTCTGGCGTCACTTTTTAAATTAATTTTATTAATGATTAGAAAATGCATGTTTTTAAGTGAATTTTTTACTAATACGCAGCTCAAACAATGAATTGAACCTTTTCTGAAGTGTATTAGCTAGTGCCTAGTGATAAAAATATAGGATCCGCTAATTGCTGACACATCGATTTAGATCTACACGCTTTCAATCCAACTCTAACGACGAACTAAAAACCAAACTGCAAGAGCGTGAATGCTTCCCAATCATTTCCTGATTCTCAATTGCCAAAGCAATGATCAGTGGGTCTAAATACGCTCAGTAGTCCATAATCAAATTTCAATAATAGATTAGACAACATCCATTTTATGAAACAGAATATCCTTTAAATTAGTTATATACATTATTACATGGAAGGTTATAGATTTTCTTTCTTTGGAAAATCTGACAGGTTTATGTACACCTGTCAAACCTGTCTGAATCCATTGTCAATGTGCGAACGCGTGGTGCCGATGAGCATGTGAACTTATTTTTTGTAAGTCAAGTGTGTTTTACTTTTACGTTAATATGCTGCAAAAAAGCATATATAGAAACATGTTGATTTTAATATTTCTATCTTACTTAACGGTAGTTTAATTTAATGCTTTTAAATTTTGGCAGGGACGGGGTGCACAATTTCTCAGGGGGGGGGTGGAAAATTTTTTGGGGGGTGCGCATCCCCCAGAAAATCCGTCCTTGTATGGAGCACATATGACCATTCTGTAACCTTTACATAGTACCTTATTTTACAGGCCTAAAAGTAACTGAAGAACAGCTGAAGGAGGCAGCTACCCTATCTGGCATTTTGCAAGTACCAGATGACTATTTGGAGCCAAATGTTAGAGCAGAATGTGAAAGACTGATCCCTGATCATGACACAATCAAACCAAATGAATGCCAAGATGCATACTTATACTTGAAACAACATTATAATAGTTAATTTTAACATGTCAATTTTAATGTTCTTTATAATAGATGTCTATAGATGCATGTCTGTGCAATCAAGATATGGAAGATGACTTCCTTGATGCCTCATTTAGAAGATGTGAATTGCTTCTACCAAAAACAGAAAAAATAGAACCTAAAGATTGTGCATCTGCATTCATATATCTCAAAGAAAACTTTAACACAACATTGTAGATGCTACATATAGATGTAAACTAAATTTAAATTCATTTTGTAAATACAGATTTAAACCAAATCCTTAGAAACATGGTAGCAACCAGTCTGGTTAAGTTCTTAATTTAAAGTAGTTCAATAACTTCTGAAAATTGATTTGATGTTTGTTGTTCTCATGTAAAGTTTAAACAAAAACAATCCTGGATAGATGGAAAGAAAAACAAATGGTGATCAAAGTTTGTTCGTTCACTGCAACCAGGTATATCAACCATGTTCTCGCTTGCTACTCCGGTTTAAATAAATTATTACAAAGCCCAGTTGAATTGTAATCAAGACCCAACATTTCGACACTCCAGTCTAGTGTCTTCAGGGGTGATCTGAAGTTACAATCGTTGGCTTCTTAAATACCCAAGGGATGACGTCACCTGCCAATGAGATGCATGTATCCCTCTGGTAAATAGGCACCGTCATCCCTATTCAAAGCATGATTACTCATATTTATATGCCATGCTTCTAGGCATAGTCTTTGACTAGTGTGGCATATAAATGAGTAATCATCCTTTGAATAGGGATGACAGTGCCTATTTACCAGAGGAATACATGCATCTCATTGGCAGGTGATGTCATCCTTTGGGTATGTAAGAAGCTACATTGCAATTTTAGATTACCCCTGATGAAGACACTAGACTGGAGTGTCGAAACATTGGGGTTTGATTACAATTCAAATAGGCTTTGTAATAATTTATTTAAACCAGTGTAGCAAGCAAAAACATAAATGGTGATCAATCTTTATTGCAAACACTAGTCACCAAAAGTGGTAAAAGACATTGGACCTACTATGTTTTCCAACTGTTAATTTAAGACTTGAATTAAATTGCCCAATGTGTTCATAAAAGTTTTTTTATTATAACCTGGTGTTAAACAGATGCTTGCCCAGTCACTCTTTGCTACCACATTACTAGGGATGCGATTTAAAGTCTGATATGTTCTTAAAAGACATTAATGAATCTTCTAAGAGTAACTAACAGATAATGTCGATAATATCAAGTTTTAGGTGTCCTTGTTATACACCAAACTGAAATAAGAACAATGTTTTAAAGATACATCATTACTTTCCCCTAACAGCAGTTTGTGTATTCTTTCTATACAAGTACTTTAAGCTTCAGAAGCTCACAGTACTCATTACATCTATGAATGAGTTTAAATTTTGCAATTGCTTCAAATGACAAATTCCCTGTGGTAAAAAGTAATTCTTTATTTTCATCAAAGAGGGAAGATGATGCAACTTCTGGGTCTACAAGGGAGTAGCCACATCCTTGGATATCTAACACCATTACCTGATTGTTGGATTTTTCAAAAGAAAAATGAGAAAGACACTCTGCTTTCTGTAATATAACTTCGTTGACATTCTTGCACAATGTGCCATCATTGTTTATATACTTACTAAACTCTCCATCTACAAACTCTTCAACTGTGACAAATTCGTCACTTTTTTTTCCTAAGTAGACACTCCCATAATGAAAACAATCACCAAAAGATTCTTGCATGCCATTTTGCTCAACACTTGTCTTCAGTTGGCTTGCAAAGTTCTTGGCTAAGCTGTGCATTTGTACAACCTTCTTTGTATGGGTTTCGAGAGTTTGATTGGTCTCAGCAATGACATCCAATGCATTTTCATTATATTCTTTGACTACCCATGAACCAGCAAAGCTCTCATCTTTTGATTCTGCTTTATAAGCTTTTCGGAATGCACCTTCTCCGAGCACATCTTCTGAAACACTAAATTCAACTGCCCTTGGTGAAGATGACCAGCTCATATCTGCCAAATTAAATCCATACAAGTGGATGGTAGTGGTAGACTTGTTTATAAGTTTACCTAGTTTCAACATATGGGTTACCGAGAGACTCTTGGGCATTGGTGTTGAGATTTTAGCTTTTTTTGGAGTTGGAACAGAGTTAGGGCCCTTTCGTTTTACAGTTGTGCTTTGCGGATGAACTGGGTCAGTATCATCAACGAATACAGGCGCATCTGCTGTCGAGCTTTTGTTTATGAATCTGACGTATATAAGATTCATATTAGGTATTTGCTTCAAGGATGCGCAGGAAGGTCCTTGCTCACCGGCAAGAATATCACATACAACATTGTTTCCAACCTTCGGTTCAAAATGTTTCAGGCATGCATCCTTCACTCGTTCAATTGTCATCTCTTCTTTTGTATAAAATCGATCTAGATCTTCATCGTCGTCGTCATATAACTGGACAAATTCCCTTGGGCCGATACGTGAATACTTTTGGGCCTTGCCCGACACGTCCGCGCTTAACATTTGAACAGTTATTTCACGTTTGGAAACATCTTTCCCTTTTTGGCTCTTCCCACTCAAGCGTTTTTTTTTCATATCTTCTTTGAACTTTCGCCATTTCTCCGCCATGTTGCCTTCCGCGCGGGCAAAGGTTCATGGGATGTTATGATAGCGCTCGGCCCACTGGCTCGGCCACTGCTCGGCTCATGGGAATTTCTCTCGGGTCGCTGTGCATTATGGTAGTGGCAGCCCTCGGCCATGGTGAAATTCACTTTTACTTTGTAATTTTAATTGTAAATCAGTATTTTGTATTTCATTTTAATTTACTTTTATTTTTCATTTTAATTTATTTTTATTTTTCATTTTAATTTATCTTTATTTTTCACTTTAATTAAAAAAAAATTATAAAGAATATTTTGGTAGTGGCAGCCCTCGGCCATGGGGAAATTCACTTTTACTTTAATTTTAATTGTAAATTATTTTGCATTTCATTTTAATTTATTTTGTATTTCATTTTAATTTATTTTGTATTTCATTTTAATTTATTTTTATTTTTCATTTTAATTAAAAAAATAAAAAGTAAAAAAATCTTTAAAATAATGTAAAATGTACAAAAAAAACGAGTGGCAACGCTCGGCCACCATACACCTATCCGATACGGAATGTACAAGTTTCAGAAGCTGAGCGAAACAATATCTCTCCGTTGCAATAATTCCTTTGAAAATAGCGTTCCCAAAAGATACGGATAGGTGTTTTTCACGTCGCTACGGAAAGCTATCCAATGCGGGCATGTTTTTTTGGCGTGTTATATTTGCAGGCCATGCCTTCCCTGCAGGCTCTTCTTTTTGGCACATACCAGTGGCATATATCAGTCAATGGTTGGGACAAAAGGCTTTTGTTTTAATATGCATAGATTTGCATAGATAGTTTTATGCATGAAATGGGATATATGAGAACAAGAAGACTGAAATAGGATGAAATGTGATAAAATGGGATTGTTTAACTTCAATTAACCTATATAAACCTCGGAAATCTGAGCTGCATACTTCATTATTTGTCCCGAAGTTCGAAGACAGCTGCTTGATATTTTCCATAAAATAAAAAGCATGGCTATCCATCTTTCATTATATCTTGTTCTTGCTGTCTTGGCAAAAATCCACGGTGAGTTTGCATTGTTCTTGTCAACTGTTTAATGGATCAACACTATATAAAATGGCACAGTAGAGACCGTTTGCAAAAAAGAGCAACACAAAATTACATGAAAAAATAATCAGACGTTAGACAAAACTCACAAAAGCGAAATTTTTGGGGCTTTCAATATTACGAAAGTATGCAACTATATGGGTGTTGACTGTTAAAAAGGTCAAAAAATACTTTAGAAATAGAATTACTCTGTTATACAAACAAAAGCGAGATTTATAAAGTACGTATTATAAAACGTTAAAGATGCGGTACAGTCCGTATGTAAACAAAGACTTGTTTACATAATTACATTTCGGTATCCAAAATGATGAATTTTATTCGACAGCTATTTATATTTTCATGATTTTAGAGTATAATAAATTATTGAACAGACAACAATCAAGCTTTGCAAGAACATAAAATGAAATGAAAACTTAAATAAACTCTTTGTAAATAAAAAAAGGGGGTCCTTTGTGCACATGCACAGATCGGACTGTACCGCATTTTTAATAGTTCACTTTTCGAACGTTGAGTTTAATTCAGTATTAAAATTTACATATATTTGACATTTGAATATATTCGAAATACCAAAAGGATAAATTTTGAAACAAAATATGTTTTCAGTTTTAACCTTTAACAATTGAATCATCTTGGCAGAAAATGGCAGATTTTTTGCAGTATGTGTTATGGTTGTTGGCTGCAAAGTGTTTTCAGTGCTATTTGCAAATGGACACTGAATTTCCAAAGTGCTATTATGATTTTAATTTTGTACATGCATGTTTATAATACTGAATGCTCCATGGGTGTCTCTAAAGGCCTGTTCATATGATCCCGCTTACCGGGACGTCTCGCTTACCGATGATCTCGCCGCCTAGCTATTTTCCTATAAAATTTTGCATTGTGTTCATATGAGAAAGCGAGCTGGCCCGCTTGCCGAGATCTCGTTTGAATTTGCCGAGATCATAGGTAGGCGGGATGAAAATTTTCCATATGAACACGCCAGCCCGCTTACCGGGATGCAGTGAAACAAGTCTTGCCGGTTTAATTTAACACTTTTTACTTGGTTTTATGTTTGTTTTGTAAACAAGTACTAAATAACCACCTGAAGCAATACTTTTTCTTGTAAATAAACGAAGAAAAACACTAAAATCGCCAAGTATTTGTGTTGCTTGACTGAAATGTGGAAGTTTTTCATACGCTAATTATGGAACTACAATGTAATTTCATCTCGGCAAGCGGGACGAAATACTCCATATGAACGCACAGAAATATTCGTCTCGGTAAGCGAGACGTCCCGGTAAGCGGGATCATATGAACAGGCCCTAATAGCGTTTGGTATTTTTTCACGACCACCCTAACCCTAGATTGACCAAGAGTAGATTACACCTCAAAGTGCAGGGTCAGAGGGGAGGTGTGCTCCCCAATAATTTCCTCACCTATGAGGATTCTATTTCTTTATCATTTTTTCTTTCTTGTATAGGCAATTACAATCAACTTAAAATCTGTATCTGAGGCTCCGGAAACACAAATATATCTGGGGGAGCATGCCCCCAGACCCCCTTGTTTGAGCTCTCTCCCCCCCCCCCCCAATAAGAATTTGCTTCGGACAGCACTGATACTTGAATAGTATTACTGAGGTTCTAAATTTTCCTATTCCTTATAGATGTAGATTGCATTGAAGTAGAAGGAGTGAACAAATTAAACGACTACACTTGGTTTTCAGAAGGACAAAATTTCACAGTGTCGTGCACAGCTAGTGGTGTAAATATCAGTTGCACAGCTTTCCAGTGGATGTTTTTCAAAAGTTTTGAGCAAGCTTCTCAACTAACTCCAAAAATGTTGATACAAACTGAACCTAATGGTAGGCATGGTCAGACATTTTTATAAAAAGCTTCTGTAATAGAACTAAATTGCCACGCCCAATGCATTCAATTGTCTCATTTAACACTGAGTCAATTCCCTCAAACATTTCTTAGAAATCCTTAAAAACTTAGAATTTACCGATGGAGAATCCCTTCTGTGAAAACATAGAAACTTTGATAGTGTAAACCAGCTTAATTCATTTGATGTTAATGTGTTATGAGAAATGAATAAAGTATACTGATTTTGTAAAAAAAAAATGGGTCAATAACCTTACCCAATAGCTTGGTGTTTAATTTGCATGGAGAACAGTGGGATTTTCAAAACAATGAAAAGACAATGGAATATTCTGATCACTGGATCATGACTGGATGGCATGGAGAATAGTGGGATTTTCAAAACAATGAAAAGACAATGGAACATTCTGATCACTGGATCATGACTGGATGCCATGGAGAACAGTGGGATTTTCAAAACAATGAAAAGACAATGGAACATTCGGATCACTGGATCATGACTGAATGGCATGGAGAACAGTGAGATTTTCAAAACAATGAAAAGACAAAGGAACATTTCAATCACTGCATCTTGACTCAGCTGGTGGCAAAAATGCTATGCTAATTATGTTGTAATAATAAAACATTGATTGACTGTGTTTTATTTCAGGCTCTGTGATATCAAGTACAGTAACATTACTGAACTCAACAGAGTTTTCCAATGACATTTGGTATATAAGATGTTCATTGGTGAATACCACCAATTCCTGTAGTCCTAAGATCAGCAGAGGAAATAAAGAGACCACCTTAATATTGCCATTTCATAGTAAGTTCAATGACTTGTGTTTGGTCTTTCAGTAAGCATGGATTAGATTAAGATTAGGTTTAAGAACAGGTTTAGGAATTTAAGGTCAGGCTCAGAATTAGGATTTCATTGAGGATTAGGTTTTGGATTAAGGTTAGGTTTAGGATTAAAGTTGTGATTAGGCTCAGGTTTAGCATTTCATTTAGGATTAGGATTAAGACAAGGTTTAGGATTAAAGTTTGGATTATGGTTGGAATTAGGATTAGGTTTTGGATTATAGTCAGGTTTAGGATTAAAGTTTGGCTTGGGTTTAGGATTTCATTTAGGATTAGGATTAAAACAAGGTTTAGGATTAAAATTTGGATTATGGTCAGAATTAGGATTTTATTTAGGATTAGGTTTTGGACTAAGGTCAGCTTTAGGATTAAAGTTTGGATTAGGCTCAGGTTTAGGATTTCATTTAGGATTAAGTTTTCGACCAGGTTTAGGATTAAATTTTGGATTATGGTCAGAATTAGGATTTCATTTAGGATTAGGTTTTGGACTAAAGTCAGCTTTAGGTTTAAAGTTTGGATTAGGCTCATGTTTAGGATTTCATTTAGGATTAAGTTTTCGACCAGGTTTAGGATTAACCTTTGGATTATGGTCAGAATTAGGTTTTGGATAATTCAGATTTTTTAAAATTTCTATTTTCCAGGTGAAGATATGCCGAGGGTTAAAGTTGGTTCACACAACGTTTCTGTAGATTACGGTCAAGACATCAACCTAACTTGTACAGCAAGTGTTTTCAAATATCTGTTTGACCTCCAAATTACTGTAGCATGGTTGAAAGATGGCCGTGCTTTAAAAAGAATAAAAACATCAAATTCCCTGCATGATTTTCCTTTTACATTATCATTGAGAAAGGTTTCTTCTGCTGGCCGTTATCTGTGCTGGATCAGTGTAGACAATAATCATGACTCACAGAAGTTTGAGGATAATGGAACTGTGTTTTTGACAGGTAAAATACCGGTAATATTCATTGCGTGCTTCATTACAGCTGAAATTCCACTTTAATTAAATTTCTTTGTCGAAATTGTTCGCTCAAATTTTTCAGTTCACGCTATTCTCAGGCTGTCCAAAATTACTTGCGGCAGAAACCAAATGGCAAATAGACAACTTGCATGTTAGACTAATTTTTTATTTAGACGAAAAAAAGTAAATTCCCGTAAATAACTTATCAAAAATCAGTAAAATTGCAAAATTTGGTTACGAAATGTTGTAAAATACGGAAAATATAGCCTTGCGAAGTTTGCATATTTTCAGTATGATTGTTTTGCGTGCGGAAATTGTTATCATTTTTGAGCCGAAAATGGTAACAATTTCCGCACGTAATACAAATATACTGAAAATATGCAAACTTCGCAATGCTATATTTTTTGTATTTTACAACATTTCGCAACCAAATTTTGCAATTTTACTAATTTCATTATGAGAAGTTGATTCCTTTCTTTACTTAGATTAAAATTCAGTCTAACATGCAAGTTGTCCATTAGGTTACTGCAAAATCAGCTTTGCGCTAACCTGGATTTACCAAAACAAAAACTTGTCAGAAGAACTTAGAATTTATTATTTTATATGTCCAAATGAATTGTAAAGTAACCCAATTAGATCACAGAATGCGTAAAGAAAATTTAAATGAAACCAAATTAGGTTACTACATAACAATTTTTTCGGTAACGCGCCGTTAACCCAGGTTTGGTTACCGCAATTTTTGACAGCCTAGCTGATTCTAGCCAAGCACCCCTTCGATAATTACCTCACAAATACATTGTTTTCAGCTTAGGACCAGCAGAGAAGCAGAACATCCTTCTTCAACATATGCATGAAAAAAATTTTGGATTTTGATCAATAAATATGGAAATAAGCATTAACACGAAAACGAGGCTCCAGGTCATGGACTGGAGTCTCGTTTTCGTGTTAAAGCTTATTTCCACATTTATTGATCAAAGTAAAGAATTCTTTTTCATGCATGTGTTGAAGAAGGATGCTCTGTTTCTCTGCGCATAGCCCATGAGAAAAAAACTTGAAATCCTTTCCATTTACCAGTAAGGTGGTCCTAAGTTGAAAACAGTGTAGTTGTGACGTAATTATCGCGTATTCGTCTGGATAGTTCGTCTTGCACAGTTTGTCAAAGTTTGTCTTGCAACTGATGAACGATCCTGATTTATTAATAAAGTCATGACTTTGATTTTCACAAACAGTGAATACAAAACTGCTTGGGAGTGAAAAGAAGATATATTATCTGAAACCTGGACAAGCATTCCAAGTTTTGTGTGAGATTAATGGCGATCCTTTGTCTTTGGAGATTAAATGGCAGATGAAAACAGCCGAAGGAAATTATTCTGATATTTCAGGTATAATTTTGAAGTATTGAACTAACCTGTATACACAAATACAAGTATCACTGGTCCTGGTAGTCATGTGTTGAAACGCCACACTATCAAAAACCTTTCGTATGCAATTTTCCTCCATTAGATCAGGACATTACGATCACGGATGAAGGGAGAATATTAAACATTGCAAGGTTTAAACATGATGGCGCCAGTTATATCTGTAGGGTCATGCGCAAACATGGTGATGGCATTCATCAAGAATCCAAGCTCATTGCAAGAAGTGAGTAGATATATATGTGCCACACTGCCAGTTGAATTTGGAACCGTAACGAAATACATACTGTTTCGCCAAGCATATCACTTTCCGCATGATCTGACCATGCTCAGCAGTGAGTTCTGTATAATATCAGATCACTTTAAGGTAGCTCACATTCAAGAACATATACTACCTCTGCATGATCTAACCATGCTTAACTCAGCAGTGAGTTCTGTACAACTATCAGATCACTTAAGGTAGCTCACATTCAAGAACATATACTACCTCTGCATGGTCTAACCATGCTTAACTCAGCAGTGAGTTCGGTACAACACCAGATCACTGTAGGGTACGTAGCTCACATTCAAGAACATGTACTACCTCTGCATGATCTAACCATGCTTAACTCAGCAGTGAGTTCTGTACAGCATTAGATCACCATAGGGTAGCCCACATTCAAGAACATGTACTACCTCTACATGATCTAACCATGCTTAACCCAGCAGTGAGTTCTGTACAACATCAGATCACTTTAAGGTAGCTCACATTCAAGAACATGTACTACCTCTGCATGATCTAACCATCCTACTGTTAACCCAACTGACGCAAGAAATTTTCATTCTGCAGCTGAGCCCACCTTGACTGGTCCAAAACAAAAAGAAATAAAGGTCGAACCTCATGATGACGTAACACTAACATGTGACATCGATGTTTTACCATTGAATATCACGTGGACAGTGCATGGTACTATGATCCAAGGTGTGTATTCTAAACTGATCACGTTTTCAAAGATATGGAAGTAATTTTTTAGTCTAAAATAGAATTGTTCATAATTTGTTTCTCTGTAGCTGATAATTCAAGGTATAAGATCTCTACAAAGGATCGGAGATTATTGTTGATTAAAGCTGTTGATTTCCAAGACAGTCGTACGTTTATTTGTTCTGCCAAGAATGGATTGAATATGAAAGGCGTTCAGCAAGAGATTGTTGTGCATGTGAAAGGTAAGGCTGTCAAATTGTGTCACCACCATCATATTGACTACCACCACCATCTGATCACCACCACCATCACCATATTGACTACCACCACCATCTGATCATCACCATCATCACCACCACCACCATCATCACCACCATCATCATCATCACCACCATCATCATCATCACCACCATCTCACTACATCACCACCACCATCATCACCACCACCATCATCATCACCACCACCACCATCATCACCATCTCACTACATCACCATCTCACTGCATCACCACCTAATGTCTATTCCTTGTTCCTCAGACTCGATGTCAGCACTGTGGCCAGCTATTGGTATTATTATTGTAGCAGTTTTGGTGGCGATCATTATCGGAGTTTCATGTTATATCAACAGAAAAAGAAGACAAGGTTTGTACGAATAGTTTCTTTTAAAAACCCAGCAATAATGCGGCAGATGATGGTCAACCTGCAGTTATCAGAGTGAGGAAATAATGTTAATTTTTGTCGCCTAATTCCAGAGATGGAAAGGCGAGAAGCAAGAGAGTTGAAAGACACGAACGTCACTCCAAGTGGTAACTATGGCGACCAAGAGGATAGCATGGTTGGCTTTGACAATGAACCACGACGATTACTAAAAGCGTGATTGACGCGTGTTAAGTGCATGATTGACACATGTTAAGTGCGTGAATGATGCGTGTTAAGTGCATGATTGGTGCATGTTAAGAGCGTGATTGACACATGTTAAGTGCGTGAATGATGCGTGTTAAGTGCATGATTGGTGCATGTTAAGTGCGTGAATGATGCGTGTTAAGTGTATGATTGGTGCATGTTAAGAGCGTGATTGACACGTGTTAAGTGCGTGAATGATGCGTGTTAAGTGCATGATTGGTGCATGTTAAGAGAATGAATGACACATGTTATGAGCCCGATTCATAGTTACTAAGAACGTGACATAGCATGTCTTTAAAGATGCGTTATAGTTTAGAATGGTTTTCCATATATGTTTTTGCTGCCGAGCAGTTACGCCTCGCCAAATTTATCACATTGGTGCATGTTAAGACGTTTATCAATTGAATAATTAAATAATTACACTTTTTACCATATTTTGTACGATTAAACGATAGTTCAACTAGAGTTTGTAGGCAATGTTTCGTGCTAGAGAAAACTGTGCAATTATTTTAAATATCTCTTATCCTACTATCAGTCTAAAGAAAGAGTTTCACTAAGCACCATCGTGCAACAGATGGTCGTCCAACGCAGGTATCAGAGTGAAAAAATAATTATTTTCATTATTTATAGAGTAGCCCTGCACTTGGAGACAAATAGAAATGAAGGATATAGTTTCATTTTCATGCTCCCACAAATGTCAAAACTTGACCACCATCTGCTACCCTGTGACGCTTAGGCAAAAGAAAAAAATACCTAGGTTTCCCGACCCTACCTAACTTTTGCCTACTGAAATCACCGATCCTAAGGCCAAAAAAAAATATGTGGGTTTCCAGTTTCTTATAAAAACTTAGGTAGGGTAGGTCGGTTTTAACTTTTTTTTTTAAACTTTTTTTTTAATTTTCCGAACAAGCGGACGCCATTTTGTTTAGTCAGTGCTTCCACATCCAAAGATAAATTTCCCTAATATTGCCTCAAATTTCAATTTTCCACAAACTTTTTCCTCTAAGTGGAAACACTTACAAGCATGATCCAATAAAAAAGTTTAGGGTCGGGATTTCGACGTCCAAAAGCTAGGTAGGGTCGGGAAACCGGAAACCCACATATATTTTTTTTGGCATAATCTTTTTATCTGAAGTTTGCTAAGAGTTTGGAGCAGTTTTTCCTACCCAGTTCGTGGCATTAGTTTTGCACTAGCTGTATAAAGTGCAACCTGTTTGTTCAAAGTTGCTATAACATTTAACAAATGTTTGTGTCATCTGTGCTGCCGTAATTGACGTAGAATATCACTCTCATGCATGAACATATATTAAAAAAATCCTACCCTACCTAAGTTTTTGCAACAAGAAATTGGAAACCCAGGTATTTCTTTTTTGGCCTTACTGAAATCTACCAAAAGCCGGCCCTATAGTTTACACACTACAAACTAAACGACTTTTCTAGGAAAACATTCAATTCAAGTTTACACTGCACTGTCACACATAAAATTTCATTCATTAAAATATGAACCATCGTGTAGACTTTTCGACCATGCCTCACGTTTCCAAAACTACATCCACGATTCAGAGATCTCTCTTTATCACTCATTGTTCAAGATTTGTCAGGTTGATGTACTTGGTTGCTCTGTCGTTTCTCTGAAAAATAAACCCAACAGTTCAGTATGGAACAGAGGTAGTATTGAATGTGAGCTACCTTAAAGTGATCTGATGTTGTACAGAACTCACTGCGCATGGTTAGATCATACAGAGGTAGTACATATTCTTGAATGTGAGCTACCTTAAAGTGATTTGATGTTGAACAAAACTCACTGCTGAGTTAAACATGGTTAGATCATGCAGAGGTAGTACGTGTTCTTGAATGTGAGCCACCTTAAAGTGATCTGATGTTGTACAGAAATCACTGCTGAGTTAAGCATGGTTAGATCATACAGAGGTAGTACATATTCTTGAATGTGAGCTACCTTAAAGTGATCTGATGTTGTACACTGTACAGAACTCACTGCTGAGTTAAGCATGGTTAGATCATACAGAGGTAGTACATATTCTTGAATGTGAGCTACCTTAAAGTGATTTGATGTTGAACAAAACTCACTGCTGAGTTAAGCATGGTTAGATCATGCAGAGGTAGTACATGTTCTTGAATGTGAGCTACCTTAAAGTGATCTGATGTTGTACAAAACTCACTGCTGAGCTAAGCATGGTTAGATCATATACATAGGGAGTACACGTTCTTGAATGTGAGCTACCCTAAAGTGATCTGATGTTGTACAGAACTCATGTGACTTAAGATAAATGAATAAAATTATTACAAATACTCAACGTACATCTTTTTCCCAGCACCATCTAAAAAGGCAGGCACAAAATTAGCTCATCAAACTTTAAATAATCAATTTTAATTTCAATTGATTTTTCTTGTTACCTTTCTCATTTCGATTTTTTTTGTAATATTCACTAAACAATATAATTGCAGCTACGACAATCGCTTCAGCCAGTATACCAATGATAGGCCAGAGCACCCTTAGCGGATCTAAGATAAATATACGATGTGAATCAGTAAACGTCACGGACAAAGACATGGCGGCAGGGGCGTAGGTTTTCCAGAGGGGGTGCGTTACTACGGGGGTCCGGGGCATTCTCCTCCCAGAAAACATTTTGAAATTAGAAGCCCTGAAATGCCTTTTCCAGCATTCTGAGCACTACGTTTATTCATTAAATGTGTCCTCACAGTACTTGTATTTCGGGCAAAACCTACGGAACGTGCCACGTTATATGATGACCCCGCCGTATTGGTGCTTGGATATTTTCTCGCGTATTCAAAAACCATCGTTTCAATAAGTAGTATTCACAATTCAAAAAATGGAATACCAGCGTTTGCTGGACACCACCTAGGGGAGGGTGCGCACCACACCGGTAGATCCGCCCAGCATGGTGGTGAATTACCATAGATATCTTATACACACTAGATAGTGCATCTAATTATTCTGCAATTCAAAAATTGAAGCCGTGATTGCAGCCTCAGGATATTCCCATGAAATGAGAAGACTCGTATGTTTTCTATTTCTTAAACAGGGAACTTCAACTTATACATTAAGTCAAACCTATTCCAAATACATTTTCAAACTATTCAAATGATGAAAGTTATTGTTGTTTTTTAAGCGTTTATTAGCGAGTGGGTAACTCCAACATGGCCGACATCTATTCAAATGGGGGTAACCGCTGGAATATTCTTGGCTTCAATTTTATTAAAAGAGATGCGCTATCTAGTTTATATAAGATATCTATGTGAATTACACTTAACGGAGCACGAAAATGAACCTTCATCCAAGACTTGTATATATATATATATATGTATATTGCTGTACGATGGCGCTTATAGCTCAAGCCAGCCACAATTTAGGGTCACCGAACAAATTTCTCAGAAATTTACGAGATATAAGGTTTACCTGTCACCCTCAGAATAATAGTTTGTGTAATAATGGTACCATTTCCACCAATCCCGCGACAGGAAAATGTCTTCCGATCTTCGTAATCAATGTCGTCTATATATAACACATTTTCTTCAGGTCTATATCGGGAATTATTACCCTCTAAAACAAAGTTACAAAGACATTAAAAATTTATAAAAAAAAAATCACCAAAAATAAATAACATTTAACATCAGCAAACTACATTTAGTTCTTGACCTAGAATTTGGAGAACAAAATTTGTCCTCCAAATGAGAAAGGTTTGCTCATCCCAAATATTGTTCATTCCTCATCAAACTTAGCATCCACAACGCAAAAAGTTTCTTTAAATGTTTTCACAAATCTGCAAACAAGTTGTTACAAATCTGTTCACAAGCTGTCAATAAGTTGTGTTCGCACTGCTTGTTCCCACTTGTTGGAACAAGTTTGAAACAAGCTGTTAACAACTTGTAACAAGCTTGATGGCATTATCAGACTTGTTACAAGGTTGTTCTAACCGGTCTGATACAGTCATGATATAACAAGAATGTTACAAGGTTGACGACACAAGGTTGTAACAATCTTCCGATCTATATCACGACTGTATCGGACTTGTTGGAACAACCTTGCAACAAATCTGATAATATCAACAAGGTTGTTACAAGTTGTTAACAGCTTGTTTCAAACTTGTTGACAACTTGCGACAAGCAATGCAAACACAACTCGTTGACGGCTTGTTGGCACAGCAAATTACTGTATTAGACAAACAACTATATAGTTTCATTGCTGTATTACAAATTACTGTATTAGACAAACAACTATATAGTTTCATTGCCCATGTACGCCCAGACTCCAGACAGAACATTCCTCTCTTAACCAGACACATTTTCAGGGAAACAATGCGCTATCCGATGTTCGATGAATAGATGGTACCTATCAAAGAATTCTTGTCATAACGCCATTCATATCGGATGGGATAACCAATCACATCACAGGTTAGTTTGACGTCACTTCCGGCAGTATCTTCCACTTCCTTTTCCACAGGCCCGTTCAGATATGGTACAACTAGAACATGGAAAATATGCTGAATTTTATTTTTTGACAGCCAATTTTTTCAACTCACATTATTGCAGTGTAAAACTAGATTCTCCCTAGCCTGTTGTTCTCAGAGTATGTGATGGTTTTGGAACACATTGATCAATTGTGGTAGATTCTAACTAGCCTCTCCTTCGAACTGTTGGTAGTGTACATCGGTAGCATGGTCTTGAAATGCCTTCGTGCTGAATTGAAAATGTACCACAAAGGACGTGTATTTCAAGACCACTATCTACACTTGAGAACCAACAGTTTGAAGTTTAGACTAGTGAGAATCTACCACAAAGGTAGCCAAAAACAAATTGCGACAGGGGACCAGGCACAGAAGAAATGTTTTTCATATAACATATTGTCAAAAATTGAGTGTCCACTAATTTGCTCAAACCCAATTGGTCGAAAAGTTTCGCATATCAAGCCGAAAACGGATTTCTGGCTTTTGAAAACAGAGTTCTGGCTTTTGAAAAGGCAGTTCTGGCACTTAAAAAGGTACTTCTGGTATTTGAAAACTGAGTTCTGGCATTTGAAAACTGAATTCTGACATTTGAAAACGGAGTTCCGGCATTTGAAAACTGAGTTCTGGCTTTTGAAAACGGAGTTTTGGCATTTAAAAACGGAGTTTTGGCATTTGAAAAGAGTTCTGGCATTTGAAAACGGAGTTCTGGCATTTGAAAACGGAGTTTTGGCATTTGAAAAGAGAGTTCTGGCATTTGAAAATGGAGATTTGACAATTAAATAGACAGGCAAACAGACAGATAGACCCCGGTGTTCGTAGGACGTGTATTCCAAGACTACTACCTACACTGAGAACCAACAGTTTGAAGCTTAGATTAGTGAGAATCTACAACAAAGGACGTGTATTTCAAGACCACTACCTACACTGAGAACCAACAGTTTGAAGCTTAGATTAGTGAGAATCTACAACAAAGGAGGTGTATTTCAAGACCACTACCTACACTGAGAACCAACAGTTTGAAGTTTAGACTAATGAGAATCTACCACAAAGCACGTGCATTTCAAGTATTATATAGAGAATAATACATGGGTGCGCGGAAATACCAGATTTATTTCGAGTGTTGAACATGATATCGCACGAGTGAGCGCAGCGAACGAGTGAGATATCATGTTCAACACGGGAAATAAATCTGGTATTTCCAAGCACCCATTTATTTTTCTGTTTATTATATAAAGAACAGTCTTTGAAAAGCGATAATTGAAAAGCGATAATTTTCACATGTGAGATTATCATGAATAATCTCACATGTGAGATTATCACTTTTATCAATGCTCGAAATCTCTATAAAGCACTATACTTTATATAATAAAATGTAATAACTTACTTGGTAAAACTTCAGTTCTGTTTCCGTAAATAAAAATATTGTTTTTAGTAGTCAAGTTCCAGTGACAAACATAAACTCCTCCATCTCTAGAACGTTTGACAACAAATGAGAAAATTATTTCTTCAGTATGACTTCCTACTTTATATTTTAAGTTTTTCCTTTCTTTAAGTACATTTCCATTTTTTTTCCAGGACAAAGTAAGACTGTATTCAGTTTGAAAATTGTCATTATTATATGACACAGAGCAGTTGAAAGTAACACTTTCTCCAACTTTTCCTCGCTCAACTGGATGTATCTTTGCCTCTGGCACTGCTTTGGCTACAAAATAAAGGTATGACCTGATATAAATACAATAAAAAATTACCATATTTGAAGAGTTTGCTATCATAGGCAACATTAATAAACATGCAGTGTTGAAAAAAAAACACTTAGCATCATACTTTGAAGTATAAAACACCTTCAAGTGAATGATATAACCTTGCAAATGAACTAGTATTTAACCGATTAAGGTTACAGGACACCCTTTTTGGCGTTTTGTGGAAAATCGCTATTGCACGCTCAAAATCAGTCCCATTTTCACCAAATGTTAGCCAGTGCATGCAAAATATGATAAAGTTGTAAAATTGACAAACAATAAAATAATATAAGAATTATTCAGGAAAATCTTAAGTCACGGTACCTTTACGCTTTTGAGTTATGTTCCTGCTGGTTTAAGATATATTTATGAAGATATCATTTTTATACAGCAAAATAGTTCTAAAAAATGGTGTTCGGAAATTTTTGTTTATTTCGTCATTCCGCTGATATGGCGATTTCTTTGACGACTGCAATATATTTCTGAATCGTTTGTGTGAATTGCTCCTTATTATTAAAATATCCCAAATTAGAACAAAGCCGAACACAATTTTGAAACTGACTTCTTTAGCTATGTCCTGTGAAAATTTGAGAAAAATTGGTTAAAACCCACAGGAGCACAACTCGTTTAAAAATCAGTAATTGCCGTAAAATTCTTCGGGAGAAAATTGAATTTGAATATTACATTTTCAATGTTTTTCTTATTACAAGCGAAATGTATTTTATTAAATAACTCTGCGAGTTTTCAACATTTTTCCTCCAAACTTGGTCAGATAGTAGCACTAGTCTAATGCTTTCATGGAAACCAATAAAAAAATTTTAGGCAAAATTAACACTCAAAGGTGTTCTGTAACCTTAAGGAGGCTCCCTACAGTTTCCAATATATATCAGTGTGGTACTAAAAGCTACTTGAATCTAAAAAAAAAGTTAAAAACTAATTTTTTGCACAATTAAGCCATTGTTTCCTCTTATATAAAAAGTAATTTTAACCCACACAATCGCTACCACAGAATACTACACAGAAGTCCATCTCCATTGTTTTTGCGTAAGCATTATTTGTCATGATTCGTCACTCGGCAAGTACCGTAAACAGAAGCAGTCCCCCCTGGACGTACTCAAAATGGCGCACGTCCAGGGGGATGACTGCTTCTGTTTACGGTACTTGCTGAGTGACGAATCATGACGAATAACGCTTATGCAAAAACAATGACGTTACCATCTATATGGCCTATAAACCACTGACATACATATCTTGGAAACTGTAGGGAGCCTCCTTAAGTACAAGTCCCCCTGAATGCAAAATAATCAGGCCTTAAAATATCTTTTACAGGGCCGTCTGACAAAATGTCCGATGACATTGAGTTTGGGTCAGACATATGTCGGATGACCTTCAGTTCAGTTTTGACTCGGAAATAAGTCTGAATGACACAAATGAATAAACGGTAATTAGATGTTGTAAAGATATTAATTAAATTAAATAATTTGTTTCTTTCATACTTATTTCCAAGCCAAAATTAACTTGCTTTCCAGAACAGCAGTTTTAAAGACTTTGACAACTTAAGCCCATTTTCCACTTCACCATTTCGCTCGCTGCCCCGCGCTTGACAACGTTAAAACAATATCTCCAGATCACCTTCTATACAATAGTAATCTGATTTTCCATTTAACGTACAAGCCTCTGCTCTAGTCCTGGCTAGGGTACATTTTGATTTACAATGGACAAAGCTACATTTCGGTCGGACACCAATTCACTCGGGTCGGACAAACAATAAACCTCAGTTTCACTAGGTCGAACAGAATGTCTGGTGGTTAATTTCCTCTCTACGTCAGACAATTTCATGAATGGGTCGGACAATGTCCGTGACTGACCAATATTTTAAGGCCTGAAAATCATCTGGCATTAGATGTAAAATAGCTTAGACAATATGGTGCCGTTTTTCCATAGAAATAATAGACATCTATTATTTCTTGAATTGTCTGTGCCAGTGTTGGTAGTGACAAAAACACCTGAAAACTGTTGATTGATAGGGATTCAACAGCTGAACATACAGGTAAAACTTGTTTTTCAAGCAAAGGCCCTTTCATCAGGAAATCTATATTATTTTATCTCTATGTGTTTTCTCATGAATTATTTAGTATTGTGCAGAAGTAGACATACCTTTCAAAACTGTGATTGGAAAAAAATGCTGGCTTGATCCAGGTAATGAGGGTTTCACTTCACATAGATAAAATCGAAGATTCTGTATATCTGGAGGCCCTTGTAGTAGACGTAAAGTACTTGTCAACATTCCTGCACCTAAAACAACATCAATAGCATTTACTACTACTCAGGAGACTCAGCCTGAGAGGCTTTAAGGATTTACAGAATTATAGTATTTAACTGTTTCCTTGCACTCTACTATTATTTTACTCTGTCTAAAGCAGACAAATTTTAAAGTCATATATGACATGAATATGATTATTTTCTTGAATGAAAGAACTCTTTAAGCTATAGAGTAACTTATTTTTCAGTTTCTTGTTTTTGTGGTTTGTTCCCGAGATATTTGAATTTGTTTGATATGTATGATATTTGTTTGATATATTTATGTGAATATGTCCGCTAATTTATGACGTCACTTTGGTTGCAAGCAACTTACACTAGCTATAAATCTATTAACTCTAAAAACTATAGCTATCAGTTCACGTTTTTCTCCAGTGTTTCATCACATTTACCAGCGAGTGATGTTTGAAATTATCGTCTTGGATGATAGCAGTGATATTGAACCATTTCAAAGAGCTTGCAACCAAAGTGACGTCATAAATTAGTGGACATATTCATACTCATTTACATATCAAACAAATTGAAATATCACAGGAACAAACCATAAAATCAAGAAAATGAAAAATAAGTTAATTACACTACAGCTTAAAGAGTTCTTTCATTCAAGAAAATAATCATGTTCATGTCATATGCACTTTAATTGTCTTGCAAATAGCAAAAATTCATAGTGTAAGTAGCACATTGATCCATATATATGAAAGGAATGGAAACAATAAAACAATGTAGGGTCTCACTATTTTTGACAGTGATATTTCTGTTAGGATCATTTTCTGCAATGGGGATTTCACTCCCCGACACATCTGGGTCAGGCCTACTCCACTCGATTTTAATGTTGTCAATCTCTGCTTGTGTGCCAGTAACACTGCATTGCAACTCAAATGGCTGATTTTCCACTTGGATAACTTTTTCTTGTTTATGTGTCAACTTCGCTGACAACACTAAATGAATAATAAAATTTTGGAAGTGGTTATAATTTGTCTGTGACCAGAAACTAATGTGCTAACGCTATTTGTCTGGCACAACTATTTTCTTGGTTCTGTCAACATGCTAAAATGACGTCAAGTCAATTTAATTATTTTTCAAGCAAATCCTTGGTGGCCATGCGCTAGCTCTGTGGATCAACCTGTGAACAGGTGGTCTGATCATGTAGGGTTAGGGTACAGAATAGAGACACACAGTTTGAAGGTCGACTCGACGAAAAACTGCTGCCACACCAAGATTCACCATCAAAATGCTGACACTTCACCCTTCACCATATTTTTGAATATTTTCAGGGGGTGAATATGCCTCTTATAAGTGCACTGGCTAGGACCATGGCAACAGCATTGCAATGGTTATGCCAAAATCATAGGCAAAACCAAGAAGTCTCCATTATAACCCTGTCACCATTATAACCAACATATATCCTATTCTGTGGTTAGGAGAAAGAGAAGGGGGTTAGGTTCGGACGGTTTTATTGTGCGAAACAACTGCTGCCCACTTAAATGAACCAATCAGATTAATTGACGAACAAATAGCCAAAGCTTGTTGGTTTCAGTGACCAGACAAGTGACACTTCATAAAGTCATGTCATCAGATTATGTTTTTGTTGCGACTTTTGCCCCTCCTATATGCAGTATAGCTGAAGAAATTCTTACCTCTCCTACAGTCTATACAGCTGTATAATTTTTTAATTAAACAACTTCCAAAAAAAACCCTAAATATATCTAAAACATATCTTCATCTGCTGTTCTATGCAAGCTCGTCAATAATTCATTTTTGCCATATGAAACAAATTCAGCATAAATATTGGTTTAATGATTAACGTTCAAACTGACATAGTGACATCCGTCGCTTAAATTGAAAAAAACCCTTCTGAGAGCATTCAAGTATGCAGTGTCAAATTTCCAAATATTAACACATGAATAAACACATAACTTGTCCTGGTAAGCAGATTGCAGAAGACCATAGATCTGTACAAAAACTAAACTATTTCGAAATTTTTAAACACGTTTTTAAAGTATTAAACAAATGCATGTTTATATATTCTTGGTCCCCTTGTCGTTTTCGTGAGTAAACGCTGTAATTTGACAATCAATTGAAGCATTTTTTGTACAATACATGATTCTTACACATGAAAATTATAATCCAATAGCTCGATCGAGCTTCTGCCTTGCATAGAATAGTCGACAGACATAATTTATAACATGCTTCTAGAACGCAATTTCTCGCCAAAAAACACGCCTGATTTCCTTACCTGGCGAAGAGCACGACAGAAGAACAACTACACAAGCTGCAAGTGTTGATACTTTCACCAAAAGTATCGTCATTTTAAAAAAACAGCCAATATTTGATGTATTTAAAAATCAAATAATTTTGCAGATAAATATTGCTTCGAATGTTTTCAGAATGTTTTGTTCCAAACAAGGAGTAGCCTTTTCGGGATGTCTTCGGAGTGACTTCGCGCATTATCGGAAAATTGCACAGCTAGCCCAATTTATGGCTATGTGATTGTTATCTTTATTAATAAAATTGGGGAAGCGGGGGAAATCGGGTGGTAGGGGAAGTGGGGCAGACAGGGAGTGTTTATTGGTTAGGATTTAGATTAGGATTAAGCACTTTATTAAAGTGATGGAGGTTTGGATTAGTCGAAGAATTGCCGTGACTTTCCGACATCGATCTAAGCACATGTTGATGGATGGAATTTACACCGAGAGAAAATGATTAAAAATTCCGATTCTAGAATTTTTGCAAAGGGGTGAAGAAATTTTTATGTTCGCGGTTGTGCTAAAATAAACCTCTGGAACCAGGGACAGGGTACGCTTTAAGACCTTTTTTGAAAAACAATATAGAATGCTGCATATTTACATTTGTAATAAGCATAAAATATTCATGATCTGACCTTGAAATATGATCTTATATTTGCATTTTGTGTCAACAGGTTCATTTTTATAAAACTAAAGTTCCTGCAACAGTCAGGCGAATTATAATCAGGTTATTATTATAGTTTGTCGTTTTTAGGCCTGATTATATTATATTATATATTATATAGTAGCTATTTATTGCAAGCATATTGACTATATTGCGTTGCCATGTGATAGACTTACAATTATTGCTCAGTTTCCCAACTTTTGCTACTGTAGCCTTTGAGTTATGTACGGTATTTCACATATCATTGTTTTAAATTTAGAACTGGGTTAATTTATTCATAGCCAGCTGTTATCTTGTGTTTGCAAGCATTAAAATTACATAAAGTATCTACACCAGTGTGGGTAGTACCAATGACAATGTGAAATTGCTGTGCTGAGTGGTTATAGTTATTCATTTAGATTTTAATCATATTACTACCTGGAAAAAAAACAAGCAGAAACTCGACGTTTCGAGCGAAGGCCCTTCGTCAAGACTAGTAGCAGGGCAGGGTCTTAGCTAGCATTTTATATCTTGGGCGTGTTTCTAAATTTCCAGGGTGTGCCCATGTGTCAATTGCCTTGAATAGCCTTTAAAACACGATTCCAGTTATGCTTGTTAACAATAGACTATACCTGTGGTTGTTCCATGCTTTTCAACCAAATATGAGGCGAGCATACGCTCATATTTCGCACTGACATTATAATAAATTATTTTAGCAACTCTTGGGCATTTAAAGCCATTTTAACAACCATACGGTGCCCATTATCCATCAAAACATTAAAACATCACGGATCATTTTTAGCAATTTCAACAACTACAGTAGATTTTACAAAGAAAATATGTATGTTGTAAGTAGAAACACCTTATTTTATGAACCTACATGCACGGCCAAAAATAAATACTGAAGCCGGGTTCATTTCATCTAGCCGTGTTTTTACATTTTTGGCCGCGATAACACGGCCAACACGGCCTTCTAGCTAAGACCCTGTAGCAGGGTCGGGAAAAGCCCGTGCTTTTTTCCAGATAACAGTCCACATAATGAGACAATTTCAGCTGACTATCTATTGTTTTGAATGCATTCGGCGCATGTAAAATGGGACGTTTAGAACAGCCCTAAAACGGGCCTAACACGAGTCCGTCGCTCGTACAGAATAATAACAGCGTGGATTTTCCTTGTTTCAAGCAAAAAGAGGCCGGGCTCAAGCGATAGGTATAATAGTTAAATAGTAGATTTATACTTTGTATTGATTGCTAATACAGTTATTTGGGTTTTATATGTATTATTTCAGTGAAATTCTACTTACAGTATGATGTTAGTGTGGTGAATATAATTATATTGTTGACAATATAAGTCGTACAATTATTCAAAGCAACTTAATTTGTCTTTAGAGGCCTGCGAAGTTTTAATGATACATGATCACGTATCATAGAAAAAAATAAAAAAATATATATATAAATATATTTCTATGATACGTGATGATGATGATGATGATGATGATGATGATGATGATGATGATGATGATGATGATGATGATGATGATGATGATGATGATGATGGTGGTGGTGGTGGTGGTGATGATGATGATGATGATGATGATGATGGTGATGATGATGATGGTGATGATGATGTCACCCTCAGAATAATAGTTTGTGTAATAATAGTGCCATTTCTACCAATCCCGAGACAGGAAAATGTCTTCCGATCTTCGTAACCAATGTCGTCTATACGCAACACATTTTCTTCAGGTCTATATCGAGAATCACCCACTAAAACAAAGTTACAAAGACATTAGACAATTTATAAAAAAAAAAAATTAGTATTGAACATGCCATGTTTCACCAAGAATAAATAACATTTGACATCAGCAAACTACATTTAGTTCTCGACCTCTGATTTGGCGGACAAAATTTGTCCTCCAAATGAGAAATTAGATTCGGTTTGCTCATCCCAAATGTTGTTCATTCCTCATCAAACTTAGCATCCACAACGCAAAAAGTTTCTTTAAATGTTTCTTGTGGTTTCAGTGCTTTTTTTTTAAAGGAGATTTTGAGTATATATATATATATAAATATAATGAATTCGGACCCGTACTCAAATATATTCGTCCAGTTTCGCCTTCACATGCGACGCATCAACGACCAGACGAATTCCAGCACAGCTAATCGTACGAATTCGAGACCAAATTAAATTAGGTCTCGTTTTGTACTGGAATTGCTTCTAAATTAGACGGCGCAATGTGAATACGGCCTGCGTGCAGCCTGACTTTAAATGAGGAGAAGATCAGTCTTCTTCTGACTTCTCCGAATTGAAAGTCAGGCTGCTGCAAAGTGAACAGCGGAACCATTCTTTTTCAAGACCATTTTGATGAGTCTTAGCTTGACGTTTACGGCAAACGTCAATCTGTGTGCGCGTACGTAAATACTTCAGGATTACAATTCATCCGGTTCCGTGTGAACACTTTTCGTCTTTGAGTACTATTCCGAATTCATCCCTGTGTAAGGGCCTGTTCATATGGGCAAAAGTTATCCCGGTTAACGAGAGAACTTTTCGACTAGCCAAATACTTTTGTTCTGTTCATATGGAGAAATATTATCCCACTTACCGGGAAAAGTTTCCGGCTGTGACGTAGCACTGAACATCAATTGAATTGAAAAGTTGCTGACACGACAAAAAGTTATCCCGCTAAGCGGGAAAGTTGTGTTCATATGGGGAAAACCTTATCCCGGTCACCGAGATCTCGCCTGTCAACAAGCGAGATCTCGGTACACGGGAAAACTTTTCGTCTCATATGAACGCAATGTAACTTTTCATATTATTTTCGTAACAAGGCGAGATCTCGCTCGTAAACTTGTCGAAACGTTTTCTCGCTAACCGGGATAACTTCTGCCCATATGAACAGGCCCTTAGTCACGTGACCAGTCACGTAGTAATTACACAGACAGATTACTATATCAGACAAACAACTATAGTTTCATTGCCCATGTACATCCAGAGTCCAGACAGAACATTCGTCTCTAACTAGACACATTTTCAGGGAAACAATGCGCTATCCAATGTTCGATGAATAGATGGTACCTATCAAGGAATCCTTGTCATAACGCCATTCATATCGGATGGGATAACCAATCACATCACAGGTTAGTTTGACGTCACTTCCGACAGTATCTTCCACTTCCTTTTCCACAGGCCCGTTCAGAGATGGTACAACTAGAACATGGAAAATATGCTGAATTTTATTTTTTGACAGCCAATTTTTTCAACTCACATTATTGCAGTGTAAAACTAGATTCTCCCTAGCCTGTTGTTCTCAGTATGTGATGGTTTTGGAACACATGGTTTTGGAACACATTTGTGGTAGATTCTGACTAGCCTAAACTGGGTACATAGGTAGCATGGTCTTGAAATGCCTTTGTGCTGAATTGAAAATGTACCACAAAGGACGTGTATTTCAAGACCATTATCTACACTTGAGAACCAACAGTTTGAAGTTTAGACTAGTGAGAATCTACCACAAAGGACGTGTATTTCAAGTATTATAATGTAACAACTTACTTGGTAAAACTTCAGTTCTGTTTCCGTAAATAAAATTATTGTTTTTAGTAGTCAACTTCCAGTGACAAACATAAACTCCTCCATCTCTAGACCGTTTGACAACAAATGAGAAAGTTATTTCTTCAGTACGACTTCCTACTTCATATTCTAAGTTTTTCCTTTCTTTAAGTACATTTCCATTTTTTTTCCAGGACAAAGTAAGACTGTATTCAGTTTGAAAATTGTCATTATTATATGACACAGAGCAGTTCAAAGCAACACTTTCTCCAATTTTTCCTCGCTCAACTGGATGTATCTTTGCCTCTGGCACTGCTTTGGCTACAAAATAAAGGTATGACCTGATATAAATACAATAAAAAATTACCATATTTGAAGAGTTTGCTATCATAGGCATTCATAGCAACATTAATAAACATGCAGTGTTGAAAAAAAAACACTTAGCATCATACTTTGAAGTATAAAACACCTTCAAGTGAATGATATAACCTTGCAAATGAACTAGTAGTATTTAACCGATTAAGGTTACAGGACACCCTTTTTGGCGTTTTGTGGAAAATCGCTATTGCGCGCTCAAAATCAGTCCCATTTTCACCAAATGTTAGCCAGTGCATGCAAAATATGATAAAGTTGTAAAATTGACAAACAATAAAATAATATAAGAATTATTCAGGAAAATCTTAAGTCACGGTACCTTTACGCTTTTGAGTTATGTTCCTGCTGGTTTTAAGATATATTTATGAAGATATCATTTTTATACAGCAAAATAGTTCTAAAAAATGGTGTTCGGAAATTTTTGTTTATTTCGTCATTCCGCTGATATGGCGATTTCTTTGACGACTGCAATATATTTCTGAATCGTTTGTGTGAATTGCTCCTTATTATTAAAATATCCCAAATTAGAACAAAGCCGAACACAGTTTTGAAACTGACTTCTTTAGCTATGTCCTGTGAAAATTTGAGAAAAATTGGTTAAAACCCACAGGAGCACAACTCGTTTAAAAATCAGTAATTGCCGTAAAATTCTTCGGGAGAAAATTGAATTTGAATATTACATTTTCAATGTTTTTCTTATTACAAGCGAAATGTATTTTATTAAATAACTCTGCGAGTTTTCAACATTTTTCCTCCAAACTTGGTCAGATAGTAGCACTAGTCTAATGCTTTCATGGAAACCAATAAAAAATTTTTAGGCAAAATTAACACTCAAAGGTGTTCTGTAACCTTAAGGAGGCTCCCTACAGTTTCCAATATATATCAGTGTGGTACTAAAAGCTACTTGAATCTAAAAAAAAAGTTAAAAACTAATTTTTTGCACAAGCCATTGTTTCCTCTTATATAAAAAAGTAATTTTAACCCACACAATCGCTACCACAGAATACTACACAGAAGTCCATCTCCATTGTTTTTTGCGTAAGCACTATTTGTCATGATTCGTCACTCGGCAAGTACCGTAAACAGAAGCAGTCCCCCCTGGACGTACTCAAAATGGCGCACGTCCAGGGGGATGACTGCTTCTGTTTACGGTACTTGCTGAGTGACGAATCATGACGAATAACGCTTACGCAAAAAACAATTACGTTACCATCTATATGGCCTATAAACCACTGACATATCTTGGAAACTGTAGGGAGCCTCCTTAAGTACAAGTCCCCCTGAATGCAAAATAATCAGGCCTTAAAATATCTTTTACAGGGCCGTCTGACAAAATGTCCGATGACATTGAGTTTGGGTCAGACATATGTCGGATGACCTTCAGTTCAGTTTTGACTCGGAAATAAGTCTGAATGACACAAATGAATAAACGGTAATTAGATGTTGTAAAGATATTAAATTAAATAATTTGTTTCTTTCATACTTATTTCCAAGCCAAAATTAACTTGCTTTCCAGAACAGCAGTTTTAAAGACTTTGACAACTTAAGCCCATTTTCCACTTCACCATTTCGCTTGCTGCCCCGCGCTTGACAACGTTAAAACAATATCTCCAGATCACCTTCTACAGGGTGTATCATAAAAAACGGAGTCCTTGCTTCAAATATAAATTTCGAAACGAATATTAGAGTAAAACGTTCAGGTTTACATTTGTTTTAAAGCATAGACATTTAAGTGATTGCGATTGGAGAGTCAAAAATTTGAGATGCAATAACAAATTGGTACTTGATGAAAATAACTTATATTGTCAACAAAACGTGCAAATTGAGGCATTTTGGCAATAGCTTGTAAAAACTAAGTAATAAAGGCTTCCAATACACTATTTTAAATTCACTTGCTGACTTCAAATGCGTTTATATTCCCAGCTGAAGCGTGTTTTAGCTTGCCGTCAACTTGCTAATTTATGTTTACATTGCGCCCGATTCGATGGCGTTAGTTCGGACGATGCATGGACATAAGATTGTTTTGATGATTTCTGGAAATAATTTAGGATTTTGAAATAAATAAAACAACCTAATCTCTTTTAGAATGTTTTTAACAAGTTTTACTAGTTTTTCTGATGTGGCAACAAGAACATTAAAGTTTGAACAAGAAAATTCAAACATTGTAACCGACTATGGAATATCATAGTAAATTTGTATAATTAAGCGGCATCTAAAAATTATAGGTTTTACTAAATTTTCTCCTGTGCAGTTATTACTTGCACTAAAGACACGGATGACTATTTGTTAGAAAGATAAATGAGCAGGCCTTAAAATAAGCCTAAAACCGTTTTATTAAATATAGCAGGCCGATAGTTATTAAGTACAAAAGATGGACTCCGTTTTTTATGATACACCCTGTATACAATAGTAATCTGATTTTCCATTTAACGTACAAGCCTCTGCTCTAGTCCTAGCTAGGGTACATTTTGATTTACGATGGACAAAGCTACATTTCGGTCGGACACCAATTCACTCGGGTCGGACAAACAATAAACCTCAGTTTCACTTAGGTCGGACAGAATGTCTGGTGGTTAATTTCCTCTCTACGTCAGACAATTTCACGAATGGGTCGGACAATGTCCGTGACCGACCAATATTTTAAGGCCTGAAAATCATCTGGCATTAGATGTAAAATAGCTTAGACAATATGGTGCTGTTTTTCCATAGAAATAATAGACATCTATTATTTCTTGAATTGTCTGTGCCAGTGTTGGTAGTGACAAAAACACCTGAAAACTGTTGATTGATAGGGATTCAACAGCTGAACATACAGGTAAAACTTGTTTTTCAAGCAAAGGCCCTTTCATCAGGAAATCTATATTTATCTCTATGTGTTTTCTCATGAATTATTTAGTATTGCACAGAAGTAGACATACCTTTCAAAACTCTGATTGGAAAAAAATGCTGGCTTAATCCTGGTAATGAGGGTTTCACTTCACATAGATAAAATCGAAGATTCTGTATATCTGGAGGCCCTTGTAGTAGACGTAAAGTACTTGTCAACATTCCTGCACCTAAAACAACATCAATAGCATTTACTACTACTCAGGAGACTCAGCCTGAGAGGCTTTAAGGATTTACAGAATTATAGTATTTAACTGTTTCCTTGCACTCTACTATTATTTTACTCTGTCTAAAGCAGACAAATTTTAAAGTCATATATGACATGAATATGATTATTTTCTTGAATGAAAGAACTCTTTAAGCTATAGAGTAACTTATTTTTCAGTTTCTTGTTTTTGTGGTTTGTTCCCGAGATATTTGAATTTGTTTGATATGTATGATATTTGTTTGATATATTTATGTGAATATGTCCGCTAATTTATGACGTCACTTTGGTTGCAAGCAACTTACACTAGCTATAAATCTATTAACTCTAAAAACTATAGCTATCAGTTCACGTTTTTCTCCAGTGTTTCATCACATTTACCAGCGAGTGATGTTTGAAATTATCGTCTTGGATGATAGCAGTGATATTGAACCATTTCGAAGAGCTTGCAACCAAAGTGACGTCATAAATTAGCGGACATATTCACACTCATTTACATATCAAACAAATTGAAATATCACAGGAACAAACCATAAAATCAAGAAAATGAAAAATAAGTTAATTACACTACAGCTTAAAGAGTTCTTTCATTCAAGAAAATAATCATGTTCATGTCATATGCACTTTAATTGTCTTGCAAATAGCAAAAATTCATAGTGTAAGTAGCACATTGATCCATATATATGAAAGGAATGGAAACAATAAAACAATGTAGGGTCTCACTATTTTTGACAGTGATATTTCTGTTAGGATCATTTTCTGCAATGGGGATTTCACTCCCCGACACATCTGGGTCAGGCCTACTCCACTCGATTTTAATGTTGTCAATCTCTGCTTGTGTGCCAGTAACACTGCATTGCAACTCAAATGGCTGATTTTCCACTTGGATAACTTTTTCTTGTTTATGTGTCAACTTCGCTGACAACACTAAATGAATAATAAAATTTTGGAAGTGGTTATAATTTGTCTGTGACCAGAAACTAATGTGCTAACGCTGTTTGTCTGGCACAACTATTTTCTTGGTTCTGTCAACATGCTAAAATGACGTCAAGTCAATTTAATTATTTTTCAAGCAAATCCTTGGTGGCCATGCGCTAGCTCTGTGGATCAACCTGCGAACAGGTGGTCTGATCATGTAGGGTTAGGGTACAGAATAGAGACACACAGTTTGAAGGTCGACTCAACGAAAAACTGCTGCCACACCAAGATTCGCCATCAAAATGCTGTTGCCAATGTTCCCAGTGTGGTTTTGAGAGGTATTCATCCCCCCTGAACATCCACCATATTTTTGAATATTTTCAGGGGGTGAATATGCCTCTTATAAGTGCACTGGCTAGGACCATGGCGACAGCATTGCAACGGTTATGCCAAAATCATAGGCAAAACCAAGAAGTCTCCATTATAACCCCGTCACCATTATAACCAACATATATCCTATTCTGTGGTTAGGGGAAAGAGAAGGGGGTTAGGTTCGGACGGTTTTATTGTGTGAAACAACTGCTGGCCACTTAAATGAACCAATCAGATTAATTGACGAACAAATAGCCAAAGCTTGTTGGTTTCAGTGACCAGACAAGTGACACTTCATAAAGTCATGTCATCAGATTATGTTTTTGTTGCGACTTTTGCCCCTCCTATATGCAGTACAGCTGAAGAAATTCTTAGCTCTCCTATAGTCTATACAGCTGTATAATTTTTTAATTAATCCCAAAAAAACCTAAATATATCTAAAACATATCTTCATCTGCTGTTCTATGCAAGCTCGTCAATAATTCATTTTTGCCATATGAAACAAATTCAGCATAAATATTGGTTTAATTATTAACGATCAAACTGACATTGTGACATCCGTCGCTTAATAAATTGAAATAACCCTTCTGAGAGCATTCGAGTATGCAGTGTCAAATTTCCAAATATTAACGCATGAATAAACACATAACTTGTCCTGGTAAGCAGATTGTAGAAAACCATAGACCTGTACAAAAACGAAACTATTTCGAAATTTTTAAACACGTTTTTAAAGTATTAAACAAATGCATGTTATATTCTTGGCCCCCTTGTCGTTTTCGTGAGTAAACGCTGTAATTTGTACATTTGACGATCAATTGAAGCATTTTTTGTAAAATACATGATTTTTACACATGAAAATTATAATCCAATAGCTCGATCGAGCTTCTGCCTTGCATAGAATAGTCGACAGACATAATTTATAACATGCTTCTAGAATGCAATTTCTGGCCAAAAAACACGCCTGATTTCCTTACCTGGCGAATAGCACGACAGAAGAACAACTACACAAGCTGCAAGTGTTGATACTTTCACCAAAAGTATCGTCATTTTAAAAAAACAGCCAATATTTGATGTATTAAAAATCAAATAATTTTGCAGATAAATATTGCTTCGAATGTTTTCAGAATGTTTTGTTTGAAACAAGGAGTAGCCTTTTCGGGATGTCTTCGGAGTGACTTCGCGCATTATCGGAAAATTGCACAGCTAGCCCAATTTATGGCTATGTGATTGTTATCTTTATTAATAAAATTGTGGAAGCGGGGGAAATCGGGTGGGAGTGTATCTAAAAGTCGAGGGTCGAGAGTCGAGAGTAAAGGTCGAGAGTCGAGAGTAAAAGTCGAGAGTCGAGAGTAAATTGTTATCTTTATTAATAAAATTGTGGAAGCGGGGGAAATCGGGTGGGAGTGTATCTAAAAGTCGAGGGTCGAGAGTCGAGAGTAAAGGTCGAGAGTCGAGAGTAAAAGTCGAGAGTCGAGAGTAAAAGTCGAGAGTCGAGATTCGAGAGTAAAAAGTCGAGAGTCGGCAAATGTCATCAGAAACAAAGTCAAAATATTTTTATTTTTTAACCACGTTTAACACAATCTATATATATAGCTTTAAATAGCCATTCCGTAACAAGTACCAACGGCTGAAATACAAACTTTCCAATAAATATTGCTACAACAGTCAATAATCAGTGGCGGAAATTCACTTTTTCCGGTGTGGGGGGGGGGGCAAAGCCTCCTAAATTTCCGACAAAACTTTGAAATTTCCGACGTACCCCCTCCCATTTGCACTCGAAAAGACTGTTTTTAGCCCACTTTTAGATCAAAATTTCCGAAAATTCGTCAATTTTCCGGAAGGTGGGGGGGGGGGGGGCGGCCCACCAAGATTTCCGCCAACGTCAATAATAATGTGATAACAAAAACAAAAAAGTTTGTATTAGAAAATAATATCGAATTTGATGCTTCAATCTTGCTAAATGTTTTCACATGTCATTTCATTCTAACTGACATGCACATAAACTTCGCTGAATTTTGACAGCCATCTCCAGGCTTGTAACTAAAATGTCACTTATTCATTAACGTACGTTTATATCAAACGAGAGCGTATTAAGAAATCCACGTTGATCACAATCTAACGATTCATACAATTGTGAATTCATAAATACGAGCCAGTAAAAATAGGATTCTTTTGTCGTATGTGTGACTCTATCGGGTGGTAATATGTCTCGCACGTGATTATAAAGTCCTAGTATTTATATGTAGCTTCACATATGAGTAATTTTTCGCGGAAATAGGTGCATGCAAAAGTGGGAAGGATGGACAGTAATATATAAGGAAGCGATAAACTAGTTATTAGATAATAGTAGTATTATTATTGAATGTTGTGGCTAAATTTTTGCGAAAGTTTTTGTTTTATATTATACTGGATTATTCCTTTGATTGTATATGCCTCTTGTTTACTTTAATTTCGAGAATTTGAGCATACTAAATTATGTTTCGCAAATATTGTTTGCTTTATGTTCCGATACACAGGAAATGAAATGAGTTCAGCCGTCATAGGCGTACGGGCGGGAAGAAATTTACCCGATCGACTTTTACCCACTGAATAAAATTTTCCGTGTAACTAAATTTCCAAAATTTTCGTTGGGAAGTAGACAAAAATATTTTCCTATTTGTCGATTCCTCGTTACTTTTACATATTTCTGGTATTTTCAAATACCATATTGCATGTACTGTCTTCTTTTTAAATTTATTTCCCCCAATTTTTGCCCGAATTTATACGTTTATAATTTGCATGACTTAATTTATTTTGACTGGGGGGCGGGGCTGCCTCCCCCCCCCCCCTCGCCCGTACGGCTATAATCAGCCGTTGTTACGGATCGGTTATATATTGTGTTAAAAGTATTTTGACTTTGTTGTTTCTGATGACATTTGCCGACTCTCGACTTTTTACTCTCGATCGACTCTCGACTTTTTACTCTCGATCGACTCTCGACTTTTTACTCCTGCCCCCCCCCCCCCCCCTCGCCCGTACGGCTATAATCAGCCGTTGTTACGGATCGGTTACATATTGTGTTAAAAGTATTTTGACTTTGTTGTTTCTGATGACATTTGAATTTTTGCCCGAATTTATACGTTTATAATTTGCATGACTTAATTTATTTTGACTGGGGGGCGGGGCTGCCCCCCCCCCCCCCTCGCCCGTACGGCTATAATCAGCCGTTGTTACGGATCGGTTATATATTGTGTTAAAAGTATTTTGACTTTGTTGTTTCCGATGACATTTGCCGACTCTCGACTTTTTACTCTCGATCGACTCTCGACTTTTTACTCTCGATCGACTCTCGACTTTTACTCTCGATCGACTCTCGACTTTTTACTCTCGACTCTCGACTTTTTTACTCTCGACTCTCGACCTTTACTCTCGACTCTCGACCCTCGACTTTTAGATACACTCCAATCAGAGGGAACCTGATAAGAAACATATGTTAATCAAAGCGTCGCACTTAGTTATTTCATATTTATAAATAGACGTCTTCTGAAAGTCGAATTAACACTATTATAGAAATAGGACAAATTCACGGGGTGTAGATGAAAGGCGGACGGACGGCGGAGCATTTTATAAACACATGATTACTACCGCAACTAATTATAATGCTGATATTTGCTGTGTTGGTGTAGTGTACTCAGGTGAATAGCATGCTTGTGATGTTAATCTGAGTTATATCCACACCGGGCAGGCTTGAAAAATATGCCTGGCCACGGTGGGAATCGAACCTACGACCTTTGGAATACCAGCCCAATTATAATGCCCTAAATTAAAGTATACCAGCTTTACATCTATAAAATGAATATGTTTTCACCCGTTCGAATTTTAACAATGAAATTTTCTAATCAGCATTCAATATGTATATATGATAGGCTATACGTTGTCTTTCTCGGGAAACTTTTGGAAATATTGTAAAAAAGCGCCTTAGTTTTGGAGCTTCTGTTAGGCAGGGTTATTAAATGACATTCACTTGCTGACATTTTCGTCCTTTAAATAGTGCTGACTTGTTGTTTTATAATGAAAATAATCCCCGTTTTACTTATAAACCTAAGAGCTTCACACGTAGCAAATTATGCGACGACTATTCTATATATGGATTTTTGAAATATCATATATTAGGGGCGGATATTTGATGGGGTAGATTTTCATTGAGCCCGATAATTTTTTAACCTGCTAAATAACGCTGCTCGATCTTTTTCTGTCCTTTAAGGCTCTTGAACGATTTTTTTATTTCATGCTCACAAATAAAAAAATTCTTTTATCCGTCCGCCTTTTATCTACACACAAATTCACGCCCTGTGAAACGCCCTGTTTGTTAAGCCGATTACAGACGAGCAAGTTTTCTATGATCGTGACTGAAACACCACACGAGTAACACGAGTTACATACGAGTACATACGACATACATACGAGTACACACGACTTACATACGGGTAGTAAACTCGTTTTCAGTGTTTGTATATTGCATTATAGACAAAAATATCGTATTCTTGGTTGACAAACTTGATTGGTTGAAGCTAATTTTTTTACGTCTGCGAAAAGTATCAATTTCTCTGCCCTCACTCCTACCGATTTTTTGCCATCGAAATTTTACTCTCGACATACTACTTTGCTGTGAAAACGGCGCAAAAATAACGCTTACAATCAACGATAATTTATAAAAATACGAATGTTTACTTTACCAGAAATATTAAATACAGTAGAAACTCTCAGTCCATATAAAAAAATACTCGAATGTTTGGTTATTTTCATGCAAAACTAATTTTAAAACAAAACTAATTAACTAGACAACTAGAAAATAGAGACTGAAAGGCAAATATACAACTTGTCATTGTATTTTAAATGAATTTACCTACAGCGTCTGATTCGTCGGAATCCATATTTAAAGCTAGTAGATATTAGATAACAATGCGAAAGTGAAAGAAATCGAGTTCACTACCCATATGTAAGTCGTATGTACTTGTATGTCAGTCGTATGTACTCGTTTGTTACTCGTGTGCACTCGTGTGTTACTCGTACAGTATGTACCCGTATTCATGCGTATGTAAGTCGTATGTACTCGTACGTAACTCGTGTTACTCGTATGGTGTTTCATTCACGATCGTTTTCTATAACAAGTTTTCATATGACAAGTTTTATTTGGTCGTATTTGTATAGGCAACTTTGCCAGTTTTTACTATGACACGTAGGCCTACACTTGTTCAAAGGCTAGTAGCTAAAACAAACTACAAATTTTTTGTTCGTCTGTACGGGTCAACAAAGAAAATTTGGCAAAGCAATTTGAGAACTTGTATGCAGTTGATCAACAATCTAATTGTAACTATACGGTGGCTCACAAGGCTATCGTGGCGGTTGGAAATCCAAAAACTTGTCATAGAAACTTTGTTGTAAGCACACACGTGCAATTGCCATTGTTTAATTTCTCTTTATTCCTTGAACGCAAAATACATGTCATCGCTAAATATACTTAAGCCCCGTTTACACTACGCTCAATTTTTGGTACCGTACCACTTTTTGGTTCTTGGACTGCCTAAATAGGTAGTCCAAGAACCAAAAAAGTCGTACGGGTACCAATTTTATCCGTGCCGTACCAAAAATTGAGCGTAGTGTAAACGGGGCTTAATGTCAATTATGTAAAAGGGTGTGTCTATAACATCACTACATCCCTCCCCTCTTTTAAGTAACTGTTTATAATTTTCTGTGTTGGTGTTATGTACTCAGGTGAATATGATGTTTGTGATGTTACTCTGAGTGTATATCCACACTGGGCAAGCTTGAAAAATATGCCTGGCCACGGTGGGAATTGAACCTACGACACCGTGGTCAGGGAATCGAACCTATACGACACCGTGGCCAGGCATATTTTTCAAGCTTGTGGATACTCAGAGTAACATCACAAACATAACTGTTTATACTTAAATTCAAACCGTCCAAACTCAATGAAAGTATCTTAGAAACTCGAACTCAACGAAAGTATACTGTTTATGGGTCAACGAATAATTGTGTGCGGGTTTATAAGATTCCCATATTGTTCTCTTTGCACACGTTTCCTAGTTGATCTTCTCAGCACTGGTGCTTGCACGTCGTTGTCGATCTCTGTTCTCGTGGATTCTCGTGCCCCATGATCTTCTTCATCATCTGAATCACCCACTATACATCTTTTATCTTTTTGAAGAATGATGCGTTCCTTGTCACAATGTGTTTCTGATTTTCAGCTACTATCTTAGTTCCTTTCTGTTCAATTATCGTATATGGTTCTACTGAGTCCATATTTTGTTGTAAATTTATTTCTCTCTATGACAAAAACATAACACAATGACTTCTATTTAGTGTCCAGGCCGTCACATCTTGATAGATTATGGTGAAACGCCTCGTTCTTGATACATAATTCCATAAAAGCCTCCAATTCCATCATAAACGCCTCTAGAATACATGTATTTCAATTCAATCTTGCGTATCTTTTAGCAAAACAATATCAATGAATTTTTGGTACTTGCCGAAAAGTGTTGAAGATGATAAATTGCTAGAGAATGATGTCAGGACGACAGGGGAACATGAACTAGATGAGAACACGTTTTTGAAAGATAAAGAAATAGATATAAACATAAAGAGGAGGTCTAAAACAGGAGAAGATAAGATAAAGGAAAAAGATAACAGTAAAGCAGAAGAAAATATGGCGACGGTGAACGAAACAGGACCTGTACCTTGCACTGCAGGAGAATTGATTGGTTTATCACGTGACATCGAGGCTATGATTGGAGAAGCGCTGGGTGATGTGACAAAGGTAACTAATTTTGGATTTAGTAAGAGTTGGATACATATATATATATATATATATATATATATATATATATATATATATATATATATATATATATAATTATATAAAGGTAGTTTAAAGGGGAGCAATGCATGCAAGCCATTCTGATTTACATGTATAATTCATCCCAAAGATTTATTTTCCATTCAATCATATTTCTATTGGGCGCTTCATTTTAATGTTTATACTCTAATAGTTCGAATTCATTCATAGAGTGGCGAATGTTTCCAGTATTACTGAATTAGCCTTTCTCACGATGACGAATATCCGCCATTTTTGGGTGGCATCAAATTTTCCTTATCCAATGCAGACAATTAAAACAATGTGAAAAGCAATTTTTCAAAATAAACTAACCATTTACTAAGCAAATTTACCATCATTCGTCCAAAAAATTATAAAAAGTCGCTATTATATGTGGACTTACCTGGCAGACTTCGGCTGAAAAGCCACCCAAAAATGGCGGCCTGAGAAAGGCTAATTGGTTGTAGCTCATGCAAACTGTATGGAACTTACTTATTGATCAATTTGAAAAAGTGAAGAATAGAGTGATCGGGAATTTACCGTCAAAAAAACTTTTCTTAATTTATTATTTGCAAAGCTCGTCTTAAAGTTCATGAACATATGATTTTAGGTTGGCGCATTTTTGAAAGATATGGTCGATGGGCGTTACGACGTCGCCTGAAAAGTATGGTGTATTCTTGTAAAGTGCATAAGAAACAAAAGCAGTAATTATAATGTCGACAAAAGAACGCTAACTTGAAATTGTTACTTCTGATCGAATTGGCGATAAACCTCACGATACTCTGCGTCAAGACTGAATCGTGTCATAAATCTGCTTGCTTGATTCGATTAACCTCTTAGGAGGACGTAAGGGACTCCAGCGAAGTTATTCAATTTAATGCGCGAAGCTGGTGACAATACATTTATTGGAAACACACAAGCAGCTAGATTAGATGTTTTATAGTATAGATCTAGATTTTTATAACCAATCCCGAGGGTCCCCCAGGGGTGTCTGTGTTCCCGTGTTTACTTGATAAGTTTTCCTTAACTTTGTCCCTTGTTCCCCACAGAGATCACACCATGTTCCCATAGCTTACATGTTCCCTTTTTCCCGAACTCGTTTTGGTTTTGCGCCCGTGCTCCTCCTTCGAAATCTGCCTTGTTCCCCTTGTTCCCTAGAAACCACTGGGAGACCCTCAGTTTACCATCAGAGACTGTTTCTGAATACTGATGACACTTTAATCTATTTTAGTAGTAACTCCATTACAACGATTGAGTCTATTTTGTCTGAAGATCTAAATCGCATAATAGACTGCCTCAATAATAATTTATTATTCCTAAATTATTCTAAGACCATGATCATGTTAGTAGTCACACATCAGAGACGTGTTAAAATTAGTGGCTTTAAAATCATGGCGAGAGACACCACTCTAGAAAGAGTTTACAAGTTCAAATATCTTGGTGTTGTACTTGATCCATGTCTGTCCTGGAATGATCATATCTACTTTATTATCAACAAAATTTCTAGGTTGAGTATTCTACGAAATGCTCAAAAGATCCTGCCTCGGGAGACATGTATTACATTGTATAATGCTATCCTGCCTCGGGAGACATGTATATCATTGTATAATCTAAATACCTTGCCTCTGTTTAATTACTGCTCCTCAATTAGCCTGCGAACAGGCTCTCAAGCTGAATTGAGAGCCTGCATCGATGACTAATGAATTTGAATATCTGCGTCTCAAATCGTGACGCGAAATTCTCATTGGTCAGATTCTATAATTTATATGTTTACGCTGAGCTCTATATATGTCAACTGCTGAAGCACTATGCATAAAAAACACTGATTAACTGATCAAATTGGTCTTGGACGTCTTAACTCAAAGCACGAAATGTTCTGTTTTGAGAAAACAGTATTTAAAACATTTGAACTTTTGCTTGAATATCTTATATTTCGAAAAACAGTATAAACTGTACAGTCTAAATTTAGTTTGTACGGTCTAAATTTAGTTTGCACGAAAGTTGTAAACAACACCATATAAGGATAGACATTCCATATTTGGAAAAACGAACGTTACGGGGCAGATATTCAAATTCATTAGTCATCGATGCAGGCTCTCAATTCAGCTTGAGAGCCTGTTCGCAGGCTACTCCTCAATATGGGATAGCTCAGTGTGGCAAAACAAACTGCGAATTCCTAGACATTGTAGACAAGCTTCAAAGGAGGGCAGCTAGTATTCATTGATGATAGTGATTAAGTGCCTAAATGGTCTAGCACCTGCGTATTTATGGCATGAATTTAGATTCGCAAATAAAACTCATGCCTATAATACTAGATACTAGAAAATACATGCATGCAGAAACCCTCGCCTTGCTGACAAAACCATTATATTTTCCGAACATGAAGTATTTAAAGTAGTTGTCATGGTAACACGATAATTTTATTAAGAATATTTTCACAATTGAAAAATCCCCTAAAAATATCACTTTTCCAGTAACATAATTATAACTAATCACATGCATAAGTGCATAACGCATAATAAAATTGCCCAACTAGTGGGTAATTTTGGATCACGTGGCCGGCCTTAGCCTGCGAGCAGGCTCTCTGGGTGAAAGAGAACCTGCAAGGATCCCTATGATGATTGCGTGCCGCCTTTCAATTAGGATGTCACAGGTCAATTAATATCAACCAATCAGCGCAGACCGGAAATACACTTAAATATTGTAAACATAAACCGATAAACGTTGAACTCCATTAGTCATTTATATTGTATTCTTTCGTTAGTTTCGTATACAGACCGCCACTGGGGCATACTAAAAAAGTTAATACGGCTTGAGATTTTACAGTGTAATACATCAAGTTAACGTTGTACTTTTTATTACAATCTGCATGTGTTTCTGTAGGCACAGTAAGTTTAAAGTTGTATATTACCCGCTAACTAATTCAGTTGTCTGGAATCATCGGCTTCATGCTGCAATAAATATATATATATATATATATATATATATATATATATATATATATATATATATATATATATATTTTTATATATATATATATATATATATATATATATATATATATATATATCCAGTGTAGTAATAATATAACTGTATAAATATATATATCCAGTATAGTATAGTATAATATGATATACCATGGACATTGGACATAATTTAATATGTTTATAGTTCAAATTTTGCAACAAAAGGTGGAATTACAGTATTAAACATGCATGTGATAATTATTGTAAACAAAGTGACAAGTAAATTACTGTACATTTTAACGCCGCATACTTATAAATATTAAATAG